GGTTTCTCATCCAGTCCGCACCCCCAGCTCTCCTTGCTTCTCAGCTCTTCTTGGAATCTTACCCATAAGGTTGCAGGGTGCACTGTGGCTAGTTGTGGTGTCAGTTACACGTTGACATTTGGTCCAGAAACGCATGCTCACCTCCAGGCTGAGACTGGGGAGCGGGTGAGAGAGGAGGGACAGATGAACAGTGACCCACGAAAGGAGCTCCCGGGGCACCGATGGGGGCGCAGGGAATAGATGTCCAAGTTGGGGGTCACCACTGATGGTTACAAAAGTATAAGTCGTTTTATAAAAGCAGTGGCTTCAGGGGGCGGTGAGATGTGCTGTGCTCCGCCAGGACGTGGGCAGCGCCAGCTTCGCTGGGCCTCCCGCTTATTCCGGGTGGAGGCACCAACCACCCACGAGGGTAAAGTGACGTACGTGTTCTGGGGCGAGGTGAACTTGCCAAGTGACCTGATGAGAGGTGAGCGCTCTGCGATGGCCATTTTATTTATGGAATTCGTTACTGCAGCAGCTGTAGCAGTGATTTTTAAAGTCCCTCCTGACCAACACATGCGCTGTCACCACCATCTCCTGGGTTTCGCCATTTATTGTTTGAGGAATAAATAATTCGGGGAGGAAACTGAAATTTACCTTGAGCTTAAATAGAATTTCCAATGTTTTGCAGCACCGTGAAGGCGGGTTCTGTACACAGGGGATCCCTCCATAACTCTTACAGGACCTGAGTTATCGTCACCCCGTCCTGCTGTACAGAAGGCATTTGCCAAGTCAAATGGCGTAAATGGTGCCTGCAGTTGGATGGTGCTCGGAACCACGGGCACTGCCTTTGTGCTCTCTTCGTTAGAGCTTGGGCCCAGCCGTGCTGGTGGACACTGTTGCCTTTGGTCTAAGCAGCATTGCTGCAAATTGAATTGTTAGTAGTTTTCAGCCTGGGAGGTGCACTTTGGAGTCACTCCCGGGCCCTACTCTAGAATTCCTGATTTCATGGGTCTGGGGGCAAGTACTTATCGCCTTTTTCTTTTTTAAACTTAAGCTTAAACTCACTCTCAGGTGTTTCCGTCGAGTGGCCAGCCTTGCGGCCTGACTCCTAAGGGTTCAGGAGGAAAGGGGAGCAGCCTTGGGGCCCATCGGGGTCACGTCTGCCTTCCTCAGTAATGGTCCCCCCACAGGGGCCCTGAGCGGGGCAAGGCCCACCACCAAAAGCCATCTGGCCACCTCTGCTTTTGTTCAGAAGGAGATTCCCAAGGGCTGCACAGTGGGGCTGGGGAAGGAGGTCTGGGAATATATCCAGAGAAAACCATAATTCGAAAATATATGTGCACCCTGATGTTCATTGCAGCGCTATTTACGATAGCCAAGACATGGAAGCAACCTAAATGTCCATCCCCAGAGGAATGGATAAAGAAGATGTCGTACATATATACAATGGAATATTACTCGGCCATAAAAAAAGAATGAAATAATGCCATTTGCAGCAACATGCATGGACTTAAGAGATGGTCATACTGAGTGAAGTAAGAGACAGATTATCATATGATGTTACTTATATGTGGAATCTAAAAAAATGGTACAAATGAACTTATTTACAGAACAGAAATAGTCATAGATGTAGAAAACAAACTTATGGTTACCAGCGGGAAGGGGAGGGGGAGGGATAAATTGGGAGATTAGGATTGACATGTACACACTATTATGTATAAAATAGGTAACTAATAAGGACCTACTATATAGCACAGGGAACTCTTCTCATTAGTCTGTAACGGCCTATATGGGAAAAGAATCAAAAAGAATGGATATATGTATATGTATAACTGATTTGTTTTGCTGTACAGCAGAAACTAACACAACATTTAAAATCAACTATACTCCCATAAAAATTAAAAAAAACAAAACAAAAACTACGCTGCCGCCATTCAGGTCACAGGGACATCTTATCTTGGTTCCTCTGGTCAGAGGGATGGGTTTTCTATGAGGATTTTCCCACAGTCCCCACTCACAGGGGCCTCTTTTCCTGGTCCTCCAGAAAACTACAAAACATTGCTGCTGCTTCCTTTACCGAATACCCCCCTGGTCATTGTAAGTATCTGAAATAGTTAATTCTGATCTTTTTTTATAGTCTACTGCCATAAAAAGGAAGGCATAAGGGCATCACTCTTCTTTTTAAAGTGCATCTATAAATTAAATCTATTTATTTTTATTTTTTTAATTAAACTTTTTTAAAGAAAAAGTTGGAAAATTTTATTTGGGCCAAGTTTGAGGATTATAACCCAGGAAGAGCATCTCAGAAAGCTCTGAGAACTGTTCCCTAATTTTCTTTTTAAGCCCTTTAATTGCCACCTCTTCTAGTATTTAAACTGATCTAGTGAATCTAATAAACTCATAAACACGGTGAATCTCCAGTTCTTTTAAAAAAATACCATTTACATACATACACTAGTATGTATAAAATGGATAACTAATAAGAACCTGCTGTATAAAAAAATAAAATTCAAAATATAAAAAAAAAAGAAACCAGAAAACCTGAGGTTTCTTTTCCTCATATCAAAAAATAATAATAGGGCTTCCCTGGTGGCGCAGTGGTTGAGAGTCCGCCTGCCGATGCAGGGGACACGGGTTTGTGCCCCGGTCCGGGAAGATCCCACATGCCGCGGAGCGGCTGGGCCCGTGAGCCATGGCCGCTGAGCCTGCGCGTACGGAGCCTGTGCTCCACAGCGGGAGAGGCTACAGCAGTGAGAGGCCCGCGTACCAAAAAAAAAAAAAGTAATAAAACAAAATACATACCATTTAATACAGTGTTCTTAAACTTTTCCATTTAATCCTAAACTGAGTTATTTAGTAGGTTTCTAATTGAAATAACAAAACTAATCTGACATGAATATGCCAAATTCTCTTAAATGTTAAAAACACTTGAGTCATCAAATATGCTTTAAGTAACAAATAGAATTTGATATAAAAACATCACTGTCTTTTTAATTTACTACATCAACTCAGGTTTAATTTTCAGTCTTCACAAAATTAGAAAGCAGCCACTAAGGGAAGTTTTTATCTTCCTGCATGAATTAAGGTTGGCATCCCAAAGCAAGTTAGAAAACAGATATGGGACCTGGGGACGGTGTATGTCCACAGTGACTCTCAGGCCACCGATCAGCACACTGGGGACGGCGTATGTCCACAGTGACTCTCAGGCCACCGATCGGCACACTGGGGACGGCGTATGTCCACAGTGACTCTCAGGCCACCGATCGGCACACTGGGGACGGCCTATGTCCACAGTGACTCTCAGGCCACCGATCGGCACACTGGGGACGGTGTGTGTCCACAGTGACTCACTCTCAGACCACTGATCGGCACAGACCCGGCTCTTAAAACTTCTGTGAAATAAATCATATACATCAGAGTGTATGTAAGACAGACGTAAAAGGAAAGACATAATATAATAGACACCCGTGTACCCCCCCACCCCATCATAAGAAACGGCACTGCTGACGCCTGGAAAGGTCACTCTCCATGTTTCTTCTAGACACTCCTCCCCACCACCCCCTTCCACTTAGTTGTAACCCGAATTCTGAATTCTGTAGTTTGTATAAAGTTTCACTGCACACCCCCAAATTATATTTACTTAATTTTGAAGTTTATGTGTTATATACGATGGGTATTCTGGGGCTGACTTTTCTCCCCCTCATCTTTACATTTCTGAGATGACTAGCCGTTATCCGCTCTTTTTGGGTGGAGGGTAGTATTCCATTTTAGGAACACGCCCCAGTCTGCCCGTTCTACTCTGATGGACTTTGTTACTGCTTTTCCCGTCGCATTCCTCTGGTACCCACGTAGAAGAGTTTTCCCAGGCAGTGCTCAGACGTTTGTCACGTAGGGACACAGGACAGGAAGGGACTCCAGAGCACCTGGACGTGGATGCTTCTGGGCCTGAGGCTGTGACTTCAGAGCTCCAGACGACAACACGGTCAGGTGCTCCCTTCCCCAGGAAGCAAGCCGTGAGGACAGCATGCCAGGTGGGGCCTGATTGGAGCCCTGCCCTTTGCATCATAATCCCCTTATCCCACCAGTAACCCCCTTGATCACAGGAGCCAGACTTCGTGGGTTCCATTCTTTGCAACATAAATGCCTTGATTTGGAATACCCCTTACCTAGCAGTCTACTCTCAGGCAGTTATGGGGTCTAGAGACACATCCTGTGGTACTAACGATGTTGGACTTACATCCACCTCTCGGGCAGAGTGACAGCGGCAGATGTAAATAGATCCCGGTAGCTGGAAGATGTCCACAATGTTATGGTTAGGTGGCGGTTATAGTTTTGTTCTATATACGTGTATATATGTGTGTGTGTGTGTGTGTGCGTATGTTTGTATATGTGTCTGTATATAGACAGGCAAACACAAAACGTTTCTATAGGAAAAAGGACATTCACCAAAATGCTGATAGAGGTTAGGTATTTTTTTTTTTTTTTTTTTTTGTAGTAGACTATTTTCTTAGAGCAGTTTTAGGTTTGTAGCAATATTGAACAGAAGGTACAGAAATTTCCCATAAACCCCCTGTCCCCACCAGCAACATCCCCACCAGATGGTACATTTGTTACAATCGATGAAGCTACACCGACACGTCATGATCACCCAGAGCCCACAGCTTACATTAGGGGCTCACTCTTGGGGCTGTACAGTCCATGGCTTTTGACAAACGTGTAATGACTTGTACCTACCATCAGAGTATCATACAGAGTATTTTCAGTGCCCTGAAAATCCTCTGTGTTCTGCCTATTCTAGGGGGTAAATGTAAGTATTATATTCTGCATACATTTTTTCATTTTTCCATTTGTTGTACAGTGTGCATGAGTTACTTTTACAATAACTTTATTTTAAAGAAGACACACCAGTTCTTCAGTCATTTTCTCTCTCTCTCTTTTTGTTCTTTTTTTTTTTTTTTTGGTTTTCTGGCCACCACGCAACTTGTAGGATCTTAGTTCCCGGACCAGAGATTGAACCCCGGCCCCCAGCAGTGGAGGCACGGAATCCTAACCACTGGACTGCCAGGGAATTCCCATCATTTTCTCTTTTTTAAAAGGTGTTGCCCCAGAGTCTGTGGAAAAAGCCGTGTTAACAAACCTTCATCATGTCCTGTGATGCTCCGGTTTCCGAGGTGGGCCGTGGGATGTCAGCAGTGTGGTACCGCCACGAGCCTTCCACAGGTGCTCACCATCTCTGGGGCTGTGTAACCTCCTCTTCCTCATGGAGGGCCCCCTGCCCTCACATGGCCTCCTGGCCTTCCCATCCTGTACCCCCAGAGCCAGGGGACACAGTGGGGGCTTAGGAAAGGGGTTATTGAATGAATGGCTAGAGGGACAGCTGCTCTGGGAGGAGACCTCCAGCCACCTTCCCTATCAAGGGAAGGACGCTGTGCCCAGGACACCCACCTGGGCCCTCCGGTCCTGGCCCTGCGGACCCGAGGTCCCCACAGTGCCAGGTGCGTCTGCAGCTGGGGTGTGATTGAACTCACCAGCTGGGCACCTCCTGACCTTGTGATACGAGGTGTCCCGGGCTCACGCAGACTGTCTCTGTCCAGCCATGGAATCGGACTTCACTCCGAGGAGCCCTGGTTCCTCTTAGGGGAGGAGCATGTTTAGAAACCAAGATCTGGGCTCCAGCTTTTCACCCTTCACAGACCACCAGTATTGGCTCCTCTGCTGGAAGCTCTTTCCAGAACTGAAGTCCCAGGAGGAGCAGGGTTGCCACTGGCCCAGCAGATCAGGGCCTCCCCAAGGTCTGCCTCCTATGTCTCGGTGAGCGTGATGGGAGTGAAGATGCCCTGAATGTGATCCCCTCCCTAATCTCTTCCTCCCGGTGGAGGATGAAGAGGGGCTGTGATGCCTATAGGGAGGAGAGGGTGCTCACTGTGCCCGGGCTGGTGTTGGGCATCAGGGGAGGCAAGCAGTGTCTGTCTGGTTCCTTGTGCCCTGGGACCCGGCACGTGGAGGTCTAGGGTATGTGCTGGGTGAGGCAGGGAAGGAAGGAAGGAAGGAGAGACCGAGTGATGCGGCCCCCCCTTGGCAGGCTTTGGTGGGGGAAGGAAATGGATAACAACAGCTGACACCGGTCACTTACTTTGGGGCAGCACTGCATGTATTAACTTCTTCAATCCTCACAATAGCCCCATGACGTAGGTGCTGTTTTTCACAACCCCATTTCACAGGTAAGGAGACTGAGGCACAGAGAGATGGAGTAACTTGCCCAAGGTCATCCAGGTGGTGGAGAACAGCTTCGAACCCAGGTGGTGGGATTGAGAGCCCCTCAATGCCATCCCTTCTGCCTTTAGAAACTCGCTATCCCCCGCCCCCCTTCCCCACACCCCCATGCTGCTCGAGGGGAGAAATGTGGGCACTGGGTCAGCTGTGAGATGTACAGCGCAGGACAGGCCCCAGTGCCTTTAGTGTCAGCTGCAGGGCACAGCTCCGGGAGCTCCCGGGACTCTGGGACCCATTCCAGCTGCTCCTGGCCGGGTCCCCAGGGCCACTTGCTCGGTCAGTAAAGTAGGCGTCCTCTGGCCAGAAGCCATCTGTAACACGGCTGCCGCAGGTTCACCCACCTGACCTCTGGCCTCATCCCCCGCTTGCTGGACTGAAAGGTCTTCTGTGCCTCTGGGAGCCCAGCCACAGGGGTTCTGGGGGCCTGGCCAGACCCTGTCACGTGGGAGAGGTGCATGGGTGGGGCAGTGGGCGGGGAAGAGGGCCACTGGTGGGGGCAAAGAGGAAAAGGGTGAAGTTTTTCATGTCCTTTTAAAATTAAAAGATCTCCTTTGATAGGATGTATTGCTAAATTTTGTAAAGCAGGCTAAAGAAGGGTGTGTATAAGATGAGGCTATCATTGCTAAAATAAATAAAATAGAAGGAAAAAGTGGCAGCTTTGCGGCTCAGTGTTACAAGCTTGGGCTTCTGCCCCAGAGAGACTGCACTCGCAACCTGGACTCAGCCTCTTCCTGGCTGTGTGACCCTGGGCAACTTGCCCACCCTCTCTGTGCTGGATAGTCATTGTTTCTTTGTGCCCCTCCTCTGGATGGGGAAAGACAGCCCACCTCCCTTGAGGGAGTGGGAAAAGCTGGACAGAAGGGTGTGGGCACACTGTGTGTGGCCTGCTGGGGACGCCAGCAGGAGGCAGGCCTGGGCCAGGGTGGTGCCCATGGCAGCATCAGGGCCTCACAGGGACAGCAGCGATGGCTCTCTGGCCAGGATACTGGGTGGCGCTCCTGGCTTCACGGCACCACCCCGCCTCACCCCGTGCATCTGGCGTGTGTCTATGGGTCCTATGATCTTTCAAATACTCTTTTCTGCTTAAATCACCCAGAGTTGTCTTTTGGCGCTGTGCCCAAGATCTCCGACCACGACACTTAGAGCCTCAGTGTTCTCAGCTGTAAAATGGCTCTATGACCAGAGCTCACTTCTCAGCTTCATCTCGGGGATCCTTGAAAGAAGATATATTCAACCTCAGCGCAACGCTTAGCACGGTTTTAACAAATGCTGGGCAAACGCTCTGTATCTAGGTTTGTTTTATGGGAAAGCACTGGAAATGTACTTCAGAAAATATTAACAGTTATTAGCTTTGGACGGAGGATTGTGGGTGATCTTAAGTTAAAAATTATTATTATTTTGCATTTCTTTTTTTTTCTAACTCCCCTGCACTCATGATTTGTGTTTTATAAAGGGGAAAATAAAAACGAGTCAATAAGGCTTGTCTTCCCTGGGCTTTGACCCTTAACCTCAGGCTTTTACCCTGGCCTGAGATGTGCAGGGATCTCTCGGGGACTCGGGGAGACTGGCCCAGCTGGAGGTGCAGGGCCAGGGCAGGGGTGCGGGCATGGGGGGAGCACCCTGCCCAGGCCTGTGGGGAGATGCCGACAGCTGCTCCCCAGGTGCCCATAAATGCCTCATAACTGTAAAAACGCCGACGCAGCAGGCCTGCTTATTTAGAGGGGGCAGGTGAGGGCAGGGGGCAAGGCATCTACCCTGACAGCAAAGCCATTCGGATGACGCCCGGCTCCCCAGGGCCCCTCGCTCTGCCCTGGAGCCGCTGCAGGGGCGGAGGAGGGGTGTGGGCAGGAGCTGCAGGCCCCACCGGGTGGACAGCCTTTTGCCTGGGCTGCCGAGGCTGCAAGGCCTGGGTTCACACTCACGCTATCCTGAGTCACCTCCTGTCCCTGCTTCTTAGCAAGCGTGACTTCAGGCAAGTTACCTCCCATCTCTGAGCCTCGACTTCCCTCTCTGTTAACTGGGTAGACAAGCCCTTCCGCTGAGAGCCTTCTCAGCATGGGGCAATTTTGCCCCCACTTTGCGGTGCCCGGAGGGAGGGCTGCCGGCACCTAGAGGCTCGAGGCCAGGGATACTGCTAAACATCCTACCACACATAGGACAGCCGCTCCCCACCCCACCCCGAAAGAATTATCCAGCCCCAAATGTCAGTGGCCCTGAGGGTGAGAAACCTGCCCTAGGGTGAAGGTGAAGGTTAAGTGTAATCATGCGCGCCCCGTGCCCGCGACAGTGGCTGTTACCATTCATGCTGGGAAAGGGGAGCTTCTGCCTCTCAGAACCAGATGTCAAAACGTGAGGTCTGGGACCAGGGCGCACCATTGAAAAGAGGCTGGGCTGTGACTTTGGGCTCTGCTAACCTTGTTGTCTCCTTTTCCCCACTGCCTGAAAGATGTCAGAGTTTTCCAAATGGGCACTGGCAGCTTTCTCTCCCTCCTCCGGCTGAGGTCAGGGCCTGAGCCGAGTCCTCGGGGACCTGGGCTGCCACTCTGATTTACAATGTGCTCCACCTCCCCGGCCCTTGCTTACACAGAGACTAGTCACAGGGAAGCTGACAGAGCGCTGCTGGTCTGGCAAGAGAGGTCAGGGCGGACAGAGTGCTGCCCACTGAGGACCCCTCTTCCCAGACCCCTCAGGGCCTTCCAGGGACACACCCAGGGTGACACCAAGGGGTATGTGTGTGTGTATGTCCAGTGGAAGCTGCTGGTGCCCGACCCAGAGCCCGTCTATGGGAACCCCCCCCTCCACTGCTGTGATGCCTGTTACAGCCGCCCATCTTCTGTACTGGGGGGCCCCCAAATGCAGCATGAAGCCAACGGCATGAGACTGCCCCCTTGCCTCAAGATGTGATTTAAGCTCAGAGCCCCGGTGGGTGGACCAGGCTGAAGCTGGGCATCCTCACTGGGCTTCCCCGCCCCATCCTAATTCTCTCACTCCCTTTCACATGTATCCTGACAGCACACCCTCCGCAAATCCACACACTGAACCCATCTCAAGCTCTGCAAATAAGGGACCCAGACCCAGGACTGTGTGTGTGTGTGTGTGTGTGTGTGTATTTGGGGGTGAATGATCATGGTTCCTTCATATGTTAATATCATGATGATTAGGAGGAAGGCGACCATGCTTACAAATTGCACCCTGCAGTTGGTGTTTTATCTAGAGGTGGATTTTGGTCAGCCTGCCCTGTGCTCCTTTGAAGGCGGAGGCAGGTCCTGTTCTGGAAGGAGGCGGCTTGACAGGCCCTGAACTCCTGGGCCTAAAGCCACTGCCATCTGTTGTCTTCGTTATGGGCAGTGTTATGACACAGGGGCTGTGGCTAAGCAGGGGTAACGTTGTAGTGTCTCTGCATCAGTGGACTCAGAGACCAAGATGCTGGGTGGGGAGGGCCAATAACTTAGGAATTGGTAAGTCTGCGTGTAACAGAAAACCCAAAGACCAGCGTTTTAATCACATCAAGGTTTATTTTTTCTCACACGTTAAGAAGTGTGGAGATCAGCAACTAGGGCTGGCGTCCCCTGCCCTGCTAGGTCCTCAGAAAACCAACTTCCACCCTCTCGGCTCCACCATCCTGTGGGGGTGGCTCTCCCACCCCATGCCACCAGAGCATGGCGAGAGGGGGGAAGAGAAACGCCGGGGCCCCAAACTTGGCCAGCTGGGGCTGGGTGGGGAGTGAGGGGAGGACAGGCTTCTACGGAGCTTTCTGGGGGCCCCGCCCATCACTCCTGCTTATAGCCCATTGGTCAGAGCTGTCACACGGCCCCTCCCGTCCACGAGGACCCCAGGGATGTTTTCTTCTAGCCACTTGGGCCACGGGGCAAGGGAAGGGGCGGAGCTGAAAGAAGGCACTTTCTTGGGGTTAGGAGCAGAGGGAGATCTGGAGGCCAGGAGGGGGTCAGTGTTTGACCCCGAGAGGCTCTAAGCATATTTTATATCCACCTGTAACCATGTTGTAATCTCTTGTCATCCTCAACTTTTGTTAAACTCCGTCTGAGCCTTGCTTTGGGGACTTGCCGGAGGCACGCAGTTTTAAACTTCCCAGCCTGGAAAGAGCGGCTGCAGCCAGAGGGTAACTTTAGGGGGTGGGGAGCGGGGGGGGGGGGGGGGGGGGTCGGCTGTAGGCGCAACAAAGGACCAGAATCTGATCCGTGGGCTGGGAATCTTCCAGGGCTGCTGGGAAGTAAGCAGGTGGGCAGGGAAATCTGGATCTTCTTGAGAGACAGCAGGGAAATCCAACTCCCAAGGGCCAGAAAGACCCACGGGCACCCCAGAAGCACAGGGCTAAGCTGAGGCACCCCTTTCTTTGGAGCTCCCTTTCACAATTCCCACACTGCCCCGGTCCCCTCAGCCGTCACCTTCCTGATGCTCTGGAGGGAAAGAGGAAGGAGAGAGGAGAGGGGGGTCGGCTGTGGGTCTTTGCGTTGCCGCCTCCACCAGCCTGTGCCCACCCTGGCATGTGACCATCAGGGGGCTCTGGAAAGCGGTGGCAGCAGCAGACACTGGGCCTGAGGCTGGGGTCCAGCAGGCCTGATAGGACCCCCCATCCTGATTTATAAACTGGAGCATCAGAGTCGAGCCCTGTTAGACGGCTCTGTCAGTCGCTTGCCTTGCACTTTTCAGCGAAGGTATCAATGTCCACCACATGCTTTTAAATTTGAGGACAACCAAGGCAAAGTGCCAATAAGCTCTGGATTTTTTTTTGGTGGTGGTGGGAAGGAGGGAGATAACCTCCCAAGTTTGGGGAACATTGTAGGTCTCTGCAGGGCCAGGCCTGGCCACATGGTGAGAGAGCTCCGGTGGCTACGCCTGCCTGTCATTCACAGAAGGGCCTGGGGAAGGGACGGCCTTGAGAGCGAAATTGTTTCTTTAAGGCTATTTTGTGGACTCCCCTTTAACTCCCACACTTGCTGGGTAAAAAAGAACAGAAAGAAAACAGGCCCTGGAGGCAGCAGTGAGCAGATTCTTTACTGTCAGATTATACACCATCAACCACCCCCGTGGTGTCCAGCGTCCCCGCTCTTTGTCCCTCCTTATAGGGGCGGTTAATACAAACAAAAATAGTTCTCTACAAAAGTAAGTTTCCAGCCCTCCCAACCCTCCTTCCTAACTCCCTTCCCCCAGACAGCGAGCTCCTTGGTCACCAGGCCTCTGGAAAGGCCTGGGGTCTGGTGGGTTGTAAGGGAAAACAAAGAATAGAAAAGAGAATCAAGTCAGCGACTAGAGGTGTAGGCAACTGGATTTTCGGGTCCTCTGGCTGATGGTGAGCCAGGGACAGGCGCAGGGGGTGTCTGCAACAGTCGTGTGTGGGGGGGGGGGTGGGGGGGAGAGGGAGGCAGGAGGCAGGACCTGGGGCTGTTGGGATGAGCAGCTTCTCCCACGCCCCTGCCTCACCGCCAGCTAAAAAAAAAAAAAAAAGGAAAGGGTCGGTGGGTAATATAAAAGAAAAACTAAGACCGAAATCGCGGGCCGCTGGGGCCGCGACCACACAGCATCCCCTGCTGCAGCGCCGGGGCGGGGGCAGGTGCCACTTCGGGGGGGACGGGGCGGGAGGACTCTGCTGAGTAGCACCTGGGAGCAGCTCGGGCCGCACCCTTCTGGCCGCCGGGCCTCCGACGCCGGCCCCCGGGCTCCCGGCTCTCCGGGCGCGGGGCGCAGGGCGCGGCGGGGCGCACGGACCGCCTCCCCCCACCCCCGGCCGGGGTTTCTCCGCGGGTCTCAGCAGTCCAGGCAGGTGGCCAGCCGCAGCAGCAGCAGGCAGCCGAGCAGCGTGGCGGGGCACGGGGCGGCCCCGGGCGCGCGGTCGCAGTCCAGGCCGCCGTCGGCGGCGCCGGGGTCGCAGCGGGGCTGCTCGCAGCGCACGCCGGTGTAGCCGCGCGGGCAGGCGCAGCGCTGGTTCTGCACGCAGGTGCCGCCGTTCTGGCACAGCAGCTGGTCGTCGTCGCACACGTTGGCTGCGGGGCGGAGGAGCGGTTAACTCGGGTGGCGGCCCGGTCCAGCCCTCCCTCTCCCCGCCCCGCGCTGGAGTTTCAGCCCCTGGGACGTGCGAACACTGGGGGCGCGGCCTGGACCGGGGGTGTTGGAGACTCAGGGCGCATTGGCGCGAAGCGTCCCGGCGGGGATGGTACCAAGGGCCGCGCGAGACCGGGACCTTGCCTCCCTCCCGCCGCTGCCCGGCTCTCCCCGCCCCGGTCCCGGCACTGGCCTTGGTGCGGTTCTTCAGACGCACCTGCTCTCCCGTCCAGAGCTTAGCACGTGCTACTCCACGTGCCTGGGGCGCCCTTCCACCCTCTTCCCGTGGCTAACGTCGGGTCTCCGCTAGCCCCTCACTTCCTCGGACTGCCTCCCTCCCTCCCTCCCCGCAAATCCGCCAGCCTCCAGCCAACTGCAGCCAACGCCCGGCTCCACTTTGGCCTCCAAGCTCCTTCCCGCTACCGACTCTACACCAGCTAGCATCAGGCCCCGCCCACCACCCGGACCCTGCTTCGGACAACACCAGGCCCCGCCCACCTACAGGGCCCCGCCCCGGAAGCACCAGGTCCCGCCCCTGGGACCCACCCACCGACCCGGACCCGGACCAGACCTGGGCGGCCTCGAGGCCCCGCCCCGGGCCCCACAGCACGCGGCCCCGCGCAGGGGGGCGGCGCGCACTCACGGTAGCAGCCCTGGCGCCAGTAGTGCGTGGGGAGGCAGTCGTCGCACTTCGGCCCCGCCGCGCCCTCGCGGCACTCGCAGAAGCCGGTCTCGTTGCACCGGTCGTGCACGGAGCCGATCTGGTTGCAGTTACACTCTGGACGGACACGCGCACGGCGAGCGATCAGGGGCGACGTGCGGGCGCCGTCCGCACGGGCCCACCCCGCCCGGCCCCGGCAACCCTCCCAGCAGGATCTCCGCACCCGCCGCTGGACGGCGGGGTGGGGACGCCTGGGGCGTCCAGATCTCGAGGGGACAGTTTTCATTTTCTCACATCCACTAAGCCCCTTCCCCTCTCTGGCTCTGGCGCTGCATGGCCCGGACCAGCCCCTTCCCGTCCCTGGGCCTGCGTCTCCGCTTCTGTAACTGGAACGGGCGCTGATCCCTCCCGGCTCCAAAGAGCTATGACTGACAGGTGGGAGGAGCCTCAGCGGAGGCCACCGGCCATCCGTCCTGGGGGCCGGGGTGTGTGTGCGGAGGGGGCAGGGTGTAGTCGGCCTCCGAAGCTCCTCTCCAGGGCGGGTGGAGGAGCAGCCCCAGAGGCCTCCCGCTCGCCCTGCTCCGTGGGAGAAGCCGAAAGCCCCCACTCTGGGAGTCCTTGTCGCCTAGTGCCGGGCCCGGGGGTGGGGGGCGGAGGCAGACAGGCAAGACAAGAGGAGGCGCTGGGGGAGACGCCTCTAATCGGATCCAGAGGCCCTGCCCTGTCCCTGCTGCTGGCTGGTGTGACATGGGCAGCACAGTTCCGTTGGGATCACTTTAGAGTTGTGATGAAATTATCTGAAGGCCGCTGCCATAATGCAGACTGACAGCTGCAGCTTTGCGGGCGGCTCCCCCTGTGCACAGCCGGGGCTGGCCTGCTGGGCGGGGGATGGGCAATGGGTTCCCAAGGGCGCTGGGCATCGGAGGGCTGAGAACTGGCCTCTACGGGAGACAGTCTTCCAGACTAGTGGGTGTTGTTTGTGGGCCACATGTTCGGTCTTTTGGGATGGCCTGCCTCTGCCTGGGCCCAGGGCCCAGGGCCCCTATAGATTTCCTTCTTTACCCCAAAAGCCAGTCCTGGAGCAGAGTTTAAAGAAAGCCAACCGTCTGCCCACTGGGGGTGGAGGGCATATAAAGTGTGAGAAAAGACTTCATTTGAAGAAAAGCTTCAGTTCCCCCAAAATGGTTGAAAACCCTTGATCTGATCCACCTCCCTATTTTACAAACAGGGAAACAGCCCCAGAGGGGGGAAGAGAATTGCCCAGAGGCACACAGCCCGGCAAGCCCTAGAACCCGTCTTTGACTGGAACTAGTGGTTCTGAAATGCCAGTGCCTGCAGGGAGGACCACATGGGGAGGTAGGTTATTAATAGAGCGGATTCTGTATTTAGAGTGGGCCCAGGAATTGGCATTTCCCCAGCCTCCCCCGGGGATTCCAACGCAGGGGTGCCCCGATCCCGTCTAACGCTGCTCTTCGGCCTCGCACCCTGGTCCACACACTCGCGTGCGGGGCCCCGCCTCCCGGCCGAGGGCTCACCAATGCACACGTTCTCGTCGTCCAGCTCCGCGGAGCCGTTGCGGTAGTAGCCCAGACGGCAGTGCTGGCAGTGCTGGCCTCGTGTGTTGTGCTTGCAGCTGACGCAGGTCACCACGTTCAGGAAGTCGATGTAGCTGCAGCGGTTGGAGTGGCCGTAGCACTCGCAGTCTGGGCCGGCCAAACGTGAGAAACACCAAGGGTCAGAGAACAAATGGCAAGCGTGCCTTCTCGCTGCCCCTCCCTGGTGCATTCCGGAAAACGGGGGCCAGGGGTAGGACCTGGCACAGGATGGTGCCCTGGGTCTCTGACACTTCTGTACCATGTGGGGAGAGATGGGCCTGCTAGCTTCGAGCCCGAACGAGAACCAGTGTAGGCCCAGCTCACGGATTACCACCTGGCCCCATGGACAGGGCACCGGGGAGGGCCAGTGGGCAGCATCCGCTAAAAGCCTGGCCGGGTACCAGGGCAAAGTGCTTTCTGGAGGGAGGCCCTCGTGATACTGCGGGTGGTTAGATATGATTCATGCAGGGAAGATGGGTCATGCCGTCAGACCGTGAGCTCAGGGAGGGCGGTGCCCGGGTTCATGGCGTTCACCACGGTACCCCAGTGATTCAATGAAGGGTAGACGCATGCATGAACGCTGGAGAGGATGGAAAGGGCCAGGAGCTTCCCGCCCATGCTGCTTTGGAAGTTGGTTGGAAGGAAAACACCCACCTGCAGGACCCTTTCTTATTAGCCTGAGCTGTTCTGCAAATCTCGTTGGCATCAGAGGGCCTGCTCTTGCACGACCCTGAGAGTGAATGCTGCCTTAAAGTTTGTGCCCCCAGCATCTCACCTTGACTCCTCCTAGCCCTGGCCCAGCTTCTGACTCTCACTGGAGGCACCTGTGACCACCTGGGGCAAAGGCCCCGGGGTTTGGAGGTGGCTCCCATGACATCATCAAGGGGCGGGGTTTGGCGAGGAGGGTCACCTTCCCTGCCACAGAGGGGGGCATCCCTTGGTGTCCCTCCTAAGAGGCTCGACACCCCCTTGAACAAAAAAGGATGCCGGCTCCCCGCTGTGAGACACCATCTGTGTATCTCTAGAGGATCCAACCCCCGTTTTGTGATGCGAGAAGGAGGGACTGACCAGATGTCGAGGTCAAGGGCATGGGAGACCTCGGAGAAATGAGCCTCTGACATGTGCCCAGGAGGAGACGGTGAGCATTCCCACACCATGGCCTCCTGGACCTGTCCCCTTCACCTTGTCCCTCCAGGGACAGTGAGAAGGTGAGGCATCCTCCAGGTGTCCCAGATCTTGCTTCAGCCAAGATGAGCCCCTGGGCCACACCTCCCAGGGAAGCCAGGACAGGTTATTCCTGGCAGCTCCTGTGCCTGCCCCCGTGCTAGCCCACTGTACTTCGGACCCATACCTGCTCCCAGCTCCCTTGGGGAGGGGGGACTGGAGGCGAGAGAGGCTCCGTTTCACCTTAACCCAGCTACTCGGGGAGGGGGCATCGGTCCACGCACTGCATTGTTTTGTTTTGTTTTTTTCCAGTGGAGGTGGGGGGAGAGGGGCCGGAGGAGGGGCTGGTCAGCCCCGGGGCCTTCCTCTTACCTTCAAATTCTTCAATAGGCATCACTTGAGGAGATTTGGGCCTGAGCTGGAAAAGTCTGGAGGCCTTGGCGGGGGCGGGGGCAGCGGCGGAGGTGCCCGCAGCTTGGAGAGATGAGAAAGAAGCTCTTTCATCAGCTGTGGTCCAGCTGCCCAGGGTGGGCTGTCCTGGTCGAGGTAGAGCTCAGCACAGGCTCCCAAGGTGCCCTGGGCAAGCTCTGAGCAGCTTTGTCACCTGCTCAGAGACGACACAGCACAACCAGGAGCACACGCAGAACCGGGCCTGCCTTTGGTCCCGCCTTGGACACCATCTACACATCCAGCTGGATTCATCCTTCCAAAGTATTCTCTATCTGCCGCATCCCTTATATTGTGCTAAATACTTAGCTGAAGCTGGACAATTTTTTGACTGGTTGAAAACATTGCTTTGCACACCCTGGTACTCTTGCTGTCCCCTCTCCTCTCCAAACTCCCGGGAGCATCACGTCCAGCGTCTGTAGCTGGTATTCGAGATTTGGCCATCTCCCTTCCTTTCTGAAGCAAACTCCCTGCTCCAGCCAGAGTGAGTCCTTCCCCGTCCAGCCATGAGCACAGACTGCCCTGCCTTCCACTGCCCAGAATCCCAGCCCCGTATTTGCGGGGGAGCATGCCACGGTCTCCTCGGCTTCCACCTGGGAGGCTGTCGTGCCCCAGTGGGTCCAGGGCCGGGAAGTGGTTGCTTCAGCCTGCTCTCCGGGGAGGACGCCCTGACTCAGAGGCCGGCCAGGTTGCTGGGAACTGCAGACCCTCACCGTTGTGGCTTAGGCTCCGGAACTGCTTGCCAGCAGGGGGCGCCCAAAGCCCTGCTCACCACTCACAGCTGGCGCGGGAGGGAACTGGAGGTGTGGGCTGGGTTGCTGCCTAAGCCAGGCATTAGGGCTCAAGGTCCAGGAAACCGTAAGACGGGACCGGGGACAGCGTCCCATCTCGGAGACTCAGGCAGGCCCTGTGTGCCTCCTGGGTGTGCCCACGATGGCTACAAATGAGCCCGTGGGCCCCCACGTGTTTCTTCCCACTGCGGTGGGAGAATGAGGCTCTGGGCTTGGTCTCAGTGCCTTCCACGACCCCTCCCCGCATCTCGCTCAGTCAGGCCGCTTCTCCCTGCCATCCCACCGCCAAGCCTTTGCCCCAGCTGGTCCTGCCGCCTGGAAGGCTACCTTCCCCCTTCATCTACTCACAGCCAACCCCCTGCAGGAAGCCCTCTCTGACTCTGAGCTCTACCTCGCCCAGGGTGTCCTGTGAGCACGATGGTGGGAGAGAGAGGGTTACTGTCATCAGGACAGGGTCTCCACTTGCCCCGGAAGCCCTTGGGGCTCAGGGTTAGGGTTAGAGTGTAGGACTGAAAGGGGTCGGGTGTGGTGATATCACTCGGGCTAAGTAGGTGAGAGTTGGGGGTAGGGGCAGGCAGAGCTCCAAGGCCCCTCCCCTCGGCGCCCTTGGGCCCCTTGCCACCCTGTGTCCCCACCCCGGGCCCCTGCTCCCTCCACTACAGTCTCAGAAGGAGCTCCCCGCTCCCCATACCTTCTGCACTGGAGGACACCTGGGGCCAGGGGGCGCTCACCCAGAGGGGGGCAGCAGTAGATGGCCTGATCCACTCTTAGGGGAAAGAAGAGGAGAAACCAAGTTATGCAAGGGGCTGGGGCTGGGCGTATCCTGGGGACCTACTGAGGCATCACCGCACACAGGCCCCTTACAAGAAGCAGTACTATACGAAGCGGCTCTGCCTACGCTGGCCAAACAGAACTGGGTTCAAATCTACAGGACAGGCAGCGTCTATACTACGGCAGCCTATGAAGGGCACACGGACACCGGATGGAAGCGGGACCCATGCCCGAGAATCTGCGTACTTTGGGCGGTCCTTTCTTCAGCGGGACACCTGATTCTTGAATCTCCCTCCCTGTGTGGCCCCCGTTCACACTGAAGGCTAGAGTTAGATCAAGTCCCATGTATCTGGGCCCAGACCTCTCTGCGCTGAAGTCTCTGGCCAATGGCCGTAAAGGGGGCATGTGTTCTGGCTAAGACATCAAACGTGTCCAGAGGGTCCTCTTCCTGTCCAACCCCAATCTAGGGACTGGAGCATCCTCCCTGACCCCTAGATTGGGCCCATTTTCACCAGGGACCCCAACGTGAGTCAGCCCCCAAATGCCACCGTGCCCATCTCCAAGACTAACTGGACACACAGCAGGGGACGCAGGTAGGGCTGGCAAGGCAAGGAATCATTCTGTGCCGAATTTCAAAGGACAAACCCAGAGGGACAAGGGAGAAGTCGGATTTTTTCCGCTTCTTAAAGGGATTACGCACGATGCCGGTTGGTGGGGCAAGAAAAAGAAAACCTACCAGCTAAGAAGTGTGGGAGACTTTCCAGCTGGGACCCAAGCCTCTGGACATGAAATTGACATTTATGCGATGTTCAATGAGAAGAGGCTGCCGGTGTCCAAATTGGCAAGGGCTTAATTAGGGCCGCGATAAACCCGCCCTGAAGGCACTGTGCTTTGCAGCCTCTCTCCCACCACCCTCGGCGGCCAAGCTGGGGAGAGGGTCGATGGTCTTGAACAGCCTTTCTGCCGGCAGCCCCTGCCCTCCGGACAGCTTGACGCTGGCAGAAGGGAGAAACATCTGGGCCAGGGGTTCAAGGGCCCAGGTGGACCTGGGCCAGAGCGCCTGAAGCACTTCTTGGGAGGTACCTGGAGAGAATCAGGACCTTCATGGGGGCCTGGGGGTGGAAAAGACTGGGCTGTCCAGGGACAGGCTCAGGTATGCAGGAGGAACCTTCTCGCAATGACCTGTGTCACTTGCCAGGGCCAGATGGAGGCCCCGTCTGTTCCTTCGGAGCTGGGGAGCTGTGCGAGCCAGGCCTTAAAGGCGGCACCACCTCCCAGACCCCCGAGGCCTCGGGGCCGTGGCACTGGGTGGCTGAGTGGGCAGGAAGCATCGGGAGTCGGTGAGCCCCGAGTTCAGGTCCTGCCTGTAATCTTGAGCAACTACTTCTTTTTTCTTTTTTCAAAACAGCTTTATTAAGTATAATTTACATACCATGAAAATCCAGCTGCTTCTTCCTAAGCCTTCATATCCTCACCTACGGGACTACGAAAATAACAGCCCCATCTCACGGGGCTGAGAGCAAGGAATAGAGTACAAGCTCCTGGCCCAGGAGACGTCCGAGCTCCACTAGCTGCAGCGAGTCACGACTCGTGGGGTGGGGGGAATGGGGGCCCAGGCACAGGCTTCGGTTGCTAAGGAGGTCTGATGATCCCCAAGGCTTGGGACACTCAGGCCACCGGCTGTCACACCGCAGCCGCCTTTTTCTCTTAATGCCTGCAGCCTGGCACTGAACTCAGGATGCAAAGTGGACCACGACCCCACTGAAGGATGGTCCTGCCTGGAGGGAGGGGCACGTCCTTCTCACCACCTGAGTCCTGGGGACCCTCACGATTCAAACCTTCTCTCGTCCAGGCTCACCGCCCTGACTCTGATGCTTTCCTTAATTCCTAGCTTTGCAGTTTGCACCCCTCGTACCACGTCAGAAGCAGCTCCAGAAACGGGGTCCGGGTTCCTCAATGTGTGTGTGTGAGCGTCTGGCCTCCCACCCAGACGGATCACCGTCTGCAGGCAGACACGGGACCTACCACGACTATTTTTGGTCCCGTGTGCCCACCACAAGCTCAGCAAAAAAAGCGCAAGTCTCAGGCGGCTGGACCAACTTGTGCCCGGAGCCCGGATTTCCAGAGTGACACACGTCCTCCATCCCAGAGAGGATTCCTGGGCCAAGAGGCCATCCCGAAATCCTCGAATCTCCCGGCTGGCCCCCTGCCCCCCGCAGATGTCTCCCGTGGAGAAGGGAAGGAGGGAGAAAGAAAAGAAGTGTGATGTGGCACCCTCTGGTCCAGTGGAGGAGCTGGGCATTTTCCACGGCATTCACTGGCTGGGAGCGTTCTGAGCACCGACCCCCAACAGGCCAAAGCCGGAGTGTCGGGGATCCCTCCCCAGGGGACAGAGGGGTCTCTGTCCGTTGGAAACACCACCCTTCCAAGGGTCCATGAGCGTCAGAGAGAGGAAGGGCCTCTGCACTGGCTGGCTGTTTGACAAGTTCTCTCTCTCTGCCCAAGGAGTAAGGGGCCCCTTACCCCGCCGCCTCCGCCCTGCAGAGGGGGTGGGGCAGAGGCGGGGCACACTGTTGGGGACCAGGGACCTTGGCCACATCTTCCCGGCATCCTCTGGGAGGGATGAGTCCTTTCAGACTCCTGGCACTCGTGGTAGGCAGGAGCCGGTGGGATGCCCCAAGTGAGGCCGGGTGAGACAAGGGGGCCACCCCAGCACCCCAAGCCTTGAACACACCCCTGGCCTGGCCCTGCCCCGAAAGGCCCAGCAGCCCAGAGTCTGAAAACGCCAGCTCAGAGGCTCCCTTCCGCCTTGCTGATCTGAGGAGTCTACCTTCTTGGCTAACCCTGCACTGTCCGTTCCTGGGGGTCAGCTGCTGATGGGCAGGGGGCAGAGCCAGGGCTAGGATGGCTGGTGGGGGCGGGGCCTGGGCCGGCTCCCCTGGGCACCCCCTGCTAGGTCACCCCGCCTTTTGGCCAGGCTGAGCAGTGCCCTGGTGCGGGTGGGCAGCAGGAAGAGGATGCAGGACTTTCATGGGAGCCCTGGATGCCCTGGCTGGGCCCAGTGACAGGTGTGTCCAGGCAGCCCGGAGGGCTCTTGGCGCCACGCCCTTGCGGCTCTGGGATCTAGCATTCTCTACTCCAAAAGCCAAGCCCCTGCCCTCCCCAGGGCTGATGCTCCCACATCATTGCACATCACAGAGAGAGGCAGGGACTCGGGCCAGAAGTGGGAAAGGGCAGGGCAGCTGGGGCTGTAGCTGGGCACCCACCTGTGGGCTGTGGGGTGCTGGGGGCCATGGGGGCCCAAGAAGTGGATGTGGAAGGGGCAGGAGTGGTGGGGTGCCCCCTCACGGCCACGGCGGCCACAGGGGCTTTGGGGACGGGGTCTTTCCGGGACCTGCGGATGCCTGGTAAGAGATGAGAAAAGTAAGAGAGGGTGGGGGAGTTGGCGGGTGTGGAGCAACGCAGAGGCGCAACTTGAGACCCCACGAGTGGACCAGCGTCCCCGCCAGGCCCAGCTTCCTCTGGCCCCCTCTCTGCCCGCTGGTGCCCCGCAGGGAGCAGCCCCGGGGCTGAGCGTGGCCCCAAAGAGCCCTGGCGGAGGGAGGCGGCGCCCCTGGAAGCCTTCCTGAGACTTGGGGTCTGCACTGGCTGGCTGTTTGACAAGTTCTCTCCTGCTGAATCTGAGAGCAGATGGCGATACCCACCTAGGGGGGCGGTGGCTTCAAGGATGAAACGCGATAGTACGAGTATCCTGCTTAGCCGACGCCTGGCACTGTGCGTGCTGGCTGATGACTTCGTGATAGGTGGTCACCCCCTATCGCCCTGCCTCACCTTCCCTGTGGAGCTCTCGGGACTCCCCTGACCCTCCTTCAGATGGTCTGGCTGCTCTGGGGCCTGAGCTGACCTGGACGCGTCGGGATCCGGGCTCACTTCCCTCAGCCTCCCCGTGGGCGAGCGGCTGCAGAGGTGATAGCTGCGGGCTGCCCGGAGGGAGGCCGAACCCCATGGTCAGACTGCGGGGGAGGGGTTCTGCCACTGGTCGGGGAAGGTGACCCCCACTCTTGCCTGGCAGGAGAGGGAGGGGCAGAGAGCGCCCCCGGGGGGCCAGGGGACCTTTCCAAAGCAGCACCAGCTGAGAAGCTAGGGGGAGGAACTGTGAGACACGAAGGAGGGGGAAGAAGCAAATGGATTAGAGGAGCGGGTGGTGAGGCCTATGGACCCAGGGGGACAGGAAAGCCCTGTCTCTTCTCTCCTGCTCTTCCCAGGACATGCAAAGAGGCTCATGCACTGGGGGCCCCAGTCGCCTTCCCAGGGTGGTGGTGACCCAGGTGTGTACTTACTGCCAACGGCAGAGCCTGCGGCGGCACCTGCGGAGAGAGAAGGGTCACAGCAGAGTAAGGGGCCCGGCCACCTCCTCCCTGCAGAGGAGGGGGTGGCAGGGCTGGGGAAAGGAAATCAGGGGGCCTGGGCACCTCTCCGTGCAGGGATTGGGTCAGATCATCCATTCCATCCTCACTGGCGCCCTGAGAGGGAGGGGCCCCTATGAGCCCATCTTGCAGATGGAGAAACTGAGTCTCAGAGCTGTGACTTACCCTATCAGGGGACCTGCTGATAAGCCTCGCTGGGGGCTTCACAGGCACCTTTCTCATTTGATTTTAGACTCTCGGGTCCTCCAGTGCAGGACAAGGAGGCGGGTGGCCCTTCTCTCAGGAGTGATGGGATTTCAGAGAACATGAGGGTCCCCAGCCACGGAGACAGACTGGTTTACTGGAAGCTCTGATGGAAGTTACCACCAGAGGGAAACCGTGGTGCATGCTCCCACCTGAGGAAATGCAGGGACGGCTGAACGACTGATTGGAAGATGATCGCAGCGCCTGCCACGTGTTGAGAGCTTTCTGCACGTCGGCACGTGCTGAGTGCTGTCCCCACCTGGGCTGTTCAGTCCTCACACAGCCCCACAGGGGCTTTTATTAGGGTCCTGATTCTACAGCTGAGAAAACAGGGCTCAGGCGGAGAAATGGCTTGTCCAAGGCCACACAGCTGTGAGTGGCAGAGGCCTGACTCCGACCCGGGCCTCTCTGTCTGTGCCCTGGGGATGAGAGGGGCCCAAGGCCACAGTTTGACCTGGGACTTTGGGTACCAGGGCGGGAATCGTCAGTCTCAGAAGGAAGGAGCCAGGGCCACAGCTTCCCCTCCAGGCGGTCCTGACAAAGGACGGAGCGTGAGGACACCCCTCCGTGCCCCGGGAGCCCTGGGGTGGATGCCGAGATGTGGGCAGGGGGACGTGTGGCGTGAGGACCTTCCCTGGTGACCCTGGCGGCGGGACAGTGAGGGAGGCCTGGGAGGATGCACCTGGGGGCCCACAGTGCATGACCTGCAGGTAAGGGTCTTAGTCTGTGGGTGCCGGGGGACCTTGGGGGATCCTTCCAGGAGGAGAACAGGGTCCAGAGAGGAAGCAGGGAGGTGGGGAGGCCAGCAGGACAGATGAAGGGATGAGCCTGCGAGCCAGAGGGAGGTGACAGCGATGAAGGAACGTGTTCAAGAAACGGTTCTGGCAACAAAGAGGTGGGCTGGGCACGCGGTGAGGGGGGAGCCGGGCGGCGCTGGGCTGTCACCCAGAGCGCTCTCCGTGCCTTTGCAGGCCAGCAGGTGCCGTGACTCTGGGAGGTCACCCTTCAAAGGCTTCTTAAGCGTTGCCCGCACACGCACAACATGCCTGTCACAGCCTTGTTGCGAGGCTTCCGGCTTTGTCAGCCTAAAGTTGCATAAATCTTTCACCGGTTGGTCGCGGGGGTGCCGATGGAGGGGCTCCTGGGAGCGTGCCCAGGAGGGGCGAGCTGAGCGGTGCCAGCGGTGCCGGCGGCCCATGCTGGCTTTGGAGCTGGGTCCAGTGGTGGCATCTAACTTGCTGCTAAACTAGGAGGGCACTGAGGGTCACTGGGGCTCTGTTTGTTCATCTGGAGGGTGGGATAATAATGAAAATAGCACCCGAGGGGTTACTGTGAGGGTTGAGAAGCTGTGTATGGAAGGTGCCCGGTGCAGCCTCCTTGTCAAAGCACTTGACCAGTGTCAGCAAATCACTGGGGCGGGGGCAGCTGGGGAGTCCCACTCTGGGGCCAGCCCAGGCCCCCTTGTCCATGGCAGCTGGGGGCTCCCTGGGACTCTTGATTTCAGGGAGATACCCAGGGACTATGTTGGGGGCCAGTGATGGGGGCCCCCAAAGCGTGTTCATAGTGCAGGCGTGTGTGGGCGCACCCCGAGGATGACCTCTGGCACAGGAAGGCTGAGCCGGGAGAGGAGAGGGCCATGCAGACGGCACGGGCCAGGCCCTCGGAGGAGCCCTCTGTTAAATGGGGTAACAGGAGACCCGCTTCCTGGGGCCCCCCTAAGGGCTGAGGGAGTGGGGACCCCATAGCACGTGGCTATGCAAATGCCCCATAAACACTGGTAATGAGGGATGGCGCTGCTCTTCACGGTTAGCCCGGAGCGAGGACTCCCTACCCCCTCCTCCCTGACACCCTCTGGGCCTTCTCTCCTGCCCTGGGGACAAGAAGGGGAAGAGGCCAGCGGAAGGATGCTGAGGAGGCTCAGCTCAGGTGTCCAGCAGGATGAAGGTGTGCTAGAGGTTCTTGACGACAAAGCCTGGCGCTTAGGAGCTTGGTAACAAGGGTGTGCCTGTGTGTGCATATGTGTGTGTGCGCATGTGTGCCCACGTGTGCATGCGTGCCTGTTTCTGTGTGCACACCTTTGTAGGGAGTACATGTGTGTGCATGTGTGTGCGTGACGGGATCCACAGCTCCTGAGGTTGAAGGCTAGGGGAGACCATGGCCTCACTGGTCCGAGGGGGCAGTGGGCGGGGGGGGGGTGGTCCCGGGTGCAGCGGCCGCTCTGTGTACGCACACGCATTGGGAGAGCCGTGGGGCAGTGGCAGGTAGGAGCCAGCCCGCCAGGACCGTGTGCGGAAGCTCCTCTTGCACTTGCCGCAGTCAGGGCCTGTGGTGTTGTGTTCACACTCGCACTGCAGGCTGCCCTCGCGCACGGAGCACAGGTTGGCGTGCAGGTTGCACTTGCACCTGGGGGGACACGGAGGGGGCAAGGCGTCAGTGAGCGTGTGGGCGGGCTCTTCCAGCTCTCTGGAGGGGCTTGGAGGGTGGCCTGGAAGGGACTCTTGAGGCCATCTGTCCAACCTGCCACGACTCTCCTTCGGGACAAATGCTCCCGGATTCAACATTTTGAGTCCTTCCCCAGCATGAGGGGTCCCTGGCTCCTACCTCTCAGTGAGGGGGGTGGGGGGCGTGATGAGATGCCCTTGTCCCAGGTGCTGAATTTTTAGTAACGCAGCTTCTGGTCACCTTTGCTCTCAACCATGGAGGGTTGACAGGTAGCAAGAGTTACCTGTCCCTGGTTGTGGAGACGTGGACCTGGCCCCAGGCTGTACCTCTGCTCTCAGCCGCGGCCCACACCCATGCCCTTGAGGGCAGAAAGAAATCCCAACTCCCCAAACCCTGTCAATTCATCCACACATGTATTATTCATTCATTCATTCAAATATTTATAGGCAACTCATCATCCTGAAACCAGTAAATACAGGGAAAGAATCAAGCATTTGTCTCACCCGTCCTATAAAAAGGGTACCTCCAGGTAACCAGTAGTTGATGAGGGGATGTTTCTTTTTATAGAAGCATTCCAGCTGATAACTGAAGAAGGAAAGACAGAATTTGAAAGTCACCACGTAGCATCCCCTACCGAACGGATAGCTCTTGGCACAGAGCATCGATAGAGAGAGACAACCAAAGAAAAAGTCTCGTCAAGGCAAATTGAACTTGAATCTGATCAACGCTCTGGATCCAGCTACAAACTTATAGGAAATACAGAGGACAGAGAAACATACTAAACACCACCAGGGGGACGCAAGCAGCAAAACCCGGAAGTGATGATATAGTTTATAGGACGGATGAATTGCAAGGGGCAAAACTTGAAATGGAGGGAGGAGGGACCCAGATCAGGAGAAACCTCAAAGGCAAAGCAATCGAGTGCAGATCGTGGACCTCATCTGGATCTCGGTCAGACAACCTCTAAACTCAGATAAACAATGTATATTCGTGAGACAACTGGAAATGTGAACACTGACTACATCTGGTGATACTAAATTAATGTTTATTAAGTGCAATGATGGTACTGTGGTTACCTTTTTAGAAGTTCTTGCCTTTAGGGACACACACGAGTATTTACAGAGGAAAGTATCTGATGTCTGGGATCTGCTTCGGAAGAACACAGAAAGGGAAAACATGGGCAGAGATTCAGACGAAACAAGAAAGGCTATGAGTGAATTGCTGAACTTGGGTGAACTTGGTTCATCATAGTAGATTCTATTTTCGTATGCATGTTGGAAACCGTCCACAAGAAAAAGTTAGAGAGACAGAGTGCTCCCTATTCTCATATGGGAAGATTTCCAAGATATATTGTCAATATTTGTAAAAAGCAAATTGCAGAATAATGTGTTTGGTAGGATTTTCTTTTTATGAAAATACACAAAGAAAAATGTGTATAGGGCACCTGTTATGTGCCAGGCTCTGAGCTGGGAATGGTGAGTATAATGGTCGACAAAGCAGATGGGGTCCCTGCTCTGATGGAGGATAGGGTCCAGCGGGGAGACGATCAAAAGATCAGTGATTGGGGGAGGGACGGGAAGGATGAACAGGTGGAGCCCAGGGGATTTTCAGGGCAGCAAAGTGATTCTGTAGGTGACACTGTCACGGCGGACACACGGCGTTACACATTTGTCAAAGCCCATAGAAGCACAGAGCAGCAAGGCAGAGCCCTAGTGTCAACTGTGGACTTGAGTTGACAACACTGTATCAATGCTGGTTCATCAACTATAACAAACGTATCACACTAATGCAAGATGTTAATAACAGGTGGAACTGGGTGGGGAACCCGGGTGTCAGGAACTCTTTGCATGATCTGCTCAATTTTCTGTAAACCTAAACCCTAAAATTTAATATAGACTTAATTTAAAAATAATAATCATGCAAATCTTTCATTAGTGCCAATTGTTATAGGTGCCCACGTGTTCTACAAAGGAGAGGGGATCATGGGTGGGTCTTAACTTAGTCTGGGGGCAGCAGGATAGGCTTCCACGAAGAACAATTTAACATCGAGAGTTACTCAGGCAAGGAGGGGAGAACCTTCTGGAAGGAGACAAGAGCACTGGGGAAGACCCTAGGGCCGAGAAGAGCTCAACCTGTAAGGTGTAAGATGAGGTAAGGGGGAAGAGGAGGCCAGACCGTGGTTCGGAGGCTGGGTTGTGTTCTGCAAGCCATTGGAAGGTTGGAGGTGTCCCGCTCTGGCTCTTATTTTATGTATCACCGCGGTCGCCTCATGGAGGATGCTTTGTCAGGGGGACCAGAGCCAGGGTATGGAGAGCGGGGAGGAAGCTGTGCCTGGCTGGCAGCAGAGGACAGTGGCGTGGACCAGGGCGGAGGCGCCTACGTCCCACCAGTGACGCCCGGCGTGTGCAACATTTCCCCTCGCTGGATCTCATCGTCTCAAAGATTGTTCCCCGAATGCTAAACCAGCATTTCTTCTCCAGCTCGTAATTTCCCCCTTCTCTTCATACCCCACCTTCCCCTGAGGGACACTCCTCCCGGACAGAGCGTCTCCCCTTAGCCTCTGCTTATTCACACGATGAATACTTAACTCCCTGCATCTTCCCGCTTCATAAATCAGTCCTGCCTCCCCTCCTGCCTTCTCTGACTCCATCTGACTGGAGCACTGCTGTGAGGCCGGCCTTCCCGGGCAAGGATCCCAAATGGGGAAAACTGGTTGCCAGGTTCCTAGCAGCCCTGCAGCTTGGAGTTAACCTGCTGCCTGCTGGCTTCAGAAGTGCCGGGGCTGCCTTCCTTCTCATAGCTTCTCTCTGCCCTCATATCATCTTGAGGAATGGTTACAGGAAATTGGGCACATCCATGCTATGGAGTATTATAAAGCCATTAAATATTATGTTGTCAAAGGCTACTTCAAACCTTGGGGAATGTTCCAGATAGAAATGAAAAGACCATACGCTGGTACTATTGTCACCTTCATTTTACAGACGAGGAAATGGAGGCTCAGAGAGGTTAAGTATCTTGCCCAGAGTCACAGGGCTGTCCAAAACTGTGACTGAAACCGGAACGCAGAGATATCCAACTCCGGAGTCCAAGAGGCTAACGTGGCTTAGAATATGGATTGTAAAAATGTAAGATACCAAACTGTAGGTATTATAGTGTTATGGACTGAATTGTGTCCCCCCCACCAAATTCACATGTTGAAGCCCTAATGCCCCAGTGCAACTGTATTTGGAGAGAGACCCCTTAGAGAGGTAATTAAAGTTCAAGGAGGTCAGAAGGGTGGGGCCCTAATCCCCTAGGGTTGGTGCCCTTACAAGAGGAGGAAGAGACCCCAGAGCTCTCTCTCCACCATGTGAGGACACAGTGAGAAATTGTCCATCTGCAAGCCAGAAAGAGGGGTCTCACCAGAAACCAACCCTGGTAGCATCTTGATCTTGGACTTCTAACTTCCAAAATTGTGAGAAAATAAAGAAATGTCTGTTGTTAAAGCTCCCCAGTCTGTGGCACTCCATTATGGCAGCCCAAGCAGACTAGTACATGCAGCTTCTGATTATGTTTAAGTACATATATCCATACCCAAAACACCAGTAGACAATACATCTAGGTATTCCTGTACTTGTCCTGAGGGAGGGGTGGGATTATAAATGATTATAGTTATTATTTCTATTTCCTTCTTTGTCACTTTGCACGTTTCCTGCATTCTCTATAGTGAGCAGGTGTTACTTATTATAAGTAGATAACAAATGGTTTTTGAAAACTGGAAGTCAGGCCAGGCGGGGAGGGAGGCTGGTTCTTGAGCTCACACAGGCCTTTCCTCTCAGGAGGAGAAGCAGGTACGTCAGGGTCCTGTTTGGGAAACCGTCGCTCCATGTTACACACCACGCACTGTTCGTGACTCTCAAGTCCCAGGTTCAAGGAGGTTTTCTGAACTCTCTGGAATAGAATTCTGGTGTAGAGTGAAGGCCCTGTCCAAGGAAATTAGCCAGTGCTAAAGTCTGTGCTATTTTAACTCCATCTTCCCTGGACACTTAGCCCTGTCAAGGTTTTACTTCAGCACAAAGCTGAAACAAACAGAGCATGAGAAAGCCTGTTCACTCTTTCCCTGGAGTTCCAATCGATTACCACATATGTACTGTGAGTCTACTATGTGCTCAGCTCTGGGAAAGGCACAGAGAGGGCTGGGCAGGCACCCGCTGGCACTGGGGACCCTTCTTCCTGGGAACACTAGACCCCAAGGATGGTCCATGGCAAAGAAAGGTTCTGTGTTTAAACCTTATTGGTCAACACATATGATGCTTTCCTAATGCCCTCACATTCTGCTCCCTGACTGCCACCCTCCACCCAGGGTCCCAGTGCACATTAGCATATTAAAGGCTCTGACAAGTCCTGCAGGAAAGAAACCTGCTGACTTTGTCTAACAAAAGTTTGTTTGCAAAACAAACCTTCTGGTATTTGACCTCAGAAGGTTTTAATTTTTTCATCTGAATTCCTATTTACCATACCACTGAGCTAGCTGGAGAGGAACACCCCAGCTGGGTGGAACCAGGAATGTACCGCATGCCTCTGGCCCGAGGATCAGATATTTTCAGATATCAGCTACAGAAAACAAAGATTGCCATCTCAACTTTGGGTGTTAACACTGACCTTGGCTTGTTAAAAATTTGTAAAAGGGCAGCTGACTCTGAGTAGCGTGTTATAATGATGATGGTAGAGGGAGTCACAGAATGTGAGAGCTCGACAGGTCTGGCGGGGGCTCGGGGTACAGCCGGAGAGAAGCCTGCCCAAGGTCGTGCAGTTTAGAGGTTACTCTGGATCCAAATCCAGACTTCCTTCCCTGACCCTGGCTCTGCCCCACCCCGTGCTGGCCAGCCCCGCCCACCATCTTCATCTCCCAGAGGGTGTCTTGGCTTCCCTGCCCTCCCCGGTTGAGCCCTGGAATGAGCACTGTGCCTCCTCTATCGGGG